TCTCGGCTGAGCAGCTCACAATCAACATAAAGTCACGCCTCCACCTACCCAAATCCTGTCCCCAGACAGTTTTTGTGTGTCAAGGACACACACAACCATAAGAGCTGACACTATCTGAGAGTGTACAGATGTGTTTTGCAGATGTAAGAATGCAATGACTGTGATTCAGCCCAAGATGCTGATAGATTTATTTAAATCTTCACAATCATGGTGTTTGGAAAAAAACACAAACATGAAAAACATTTAACAATTTCAGTTCTCAAATAACCCTGCTTCCTCTTCATCACATCTTTCCTTTCCCAGATATTCTGTGTGTGTGTGTGTATATATTATATATATATATATACACACACACACAAATTTATAACAAGAGTGCAAGAAAACAGTATTTCACTTTCGCGTACCATTCATTCACTTTCATCGAGGTTTAGAGTGTGGCGTCTCAACACTTTATAGTATATTGCAGAGGAGGCCCTCTTCTGGGCATTAGTAGTAGTGCAGTAAATAGCACGTGAACTCGGTGCGCGGTTCTTACTGTCACACCTCCAGGTGAGAGGGTTCCGTTTCTGTCCTACAATGAAAGAGTGTTTAAATGATCTTTGCAGATATTTTCTCCAGGTTCAGTGTTCATCAAAGGGGTGAACTGATATCTCTCAATTGTCAACTGCCCTGTGCTTTTTGGGAGAAGCTGCAGGTGTACCTGAACTGTAGAATTTTAAATTTATGGCTGGATATTTATATGCACACTATATTTCCAAAGGTATTGGGTCACCCCTCCAAATCATTGAATTCACGAGTTCCAATCACTTCCATAGCCACAGGTGTATAAAATCAAGCACCTAGGCATGCAGACTGCTTCTATAAACATTTGCGAAAGATTGGGTCACTCTCAGGAGCTCAGTGAATTCAAGCATGTTACCGTAATAGGATGCTACCTGTGCAATAAGTCCATTCATGAAATTTCCTCACTACTAAATATTCCACGGTTAACTGTTAATGGTATTATAACAAATTGGAAGCAACTGGGAACAACCACGAAGGACAGTGCGTAGGGAACTTCATGGAATGGGTTTCAATGGCCGGGAAGCTGCATCCAAGCCTTACATCACCAAGTGCAGTGCAAAACGTCGGATGCAGTGGTGTAAAGCACGCTGCCAGTGGAGACGCAGTGGAGACGTGTTCTCTAGAGTGATGAATCACGCTTCTCTGTCTGGCAATCTGATGGACGAGACTGGATTAGGCGGTTGCCAGGAGAACAGTACTTGCCTGACTGCATTGTGCCTAGTGTAAAGTTTGGTAGAGGGGGGATTATGGTGTGGGGTTGATTTTCAGGGGTTGGGCTTGGCCGCTTAATTCCATTGAAAGGAACTGTTAATGCTGCAGCATTCAAAGCCATTCTGACAATTTCATGCTCCCAACTTTGTGGGAATAGTTTTCGGATGGTCCCTTCCTGTTCCAACATGACTGCACACCAGTGCGCAAAGCAAAGTCCATAAGGACATGGATGAGCAAGTCTGGTGTGGAAGAATATGACTGGCCTGCACAGAGCCCTGACCTCAACCTGATGAATTACAGCAGAGACTGCAAGCCAGGCCAACATCAGTGCCTGACCTCACAAATGCTCTCCTGGAAGAATGGTCAAAAATTCCCATAAACACACTCCTAAACCTTGTGGTCAGCCTTCCCAGAAGAGTTGAAGCTGTTATAGTTGCAAAGGGTGGGCCAACTCCATATTAAAGACTTTTGTCAATATAGTGCATATAAAGTTATATATTCAATAGAATTCAAAAGATATATTTAATGGGAATAGTCTCTGTGACACTTAATGTTGTTATGGAAGACTGACGGATAATAAAATAAGGTCATTGCATCTTTTATGAAATGGAAGAGATAAATAGTGTAGGAATTATGTGTTGGTGTTTTTTTTGCTTTAGCGCGATACGCTGATATGTAGAAGCTGATCTACAGGCCCTTGGCTCCTGGACGTTCCTACACAGAAAACCACATCACACATATTGAAAACATTTGTTTTTTGTTAAAATTATTTCCTTTAACTTTAAATTTCCATTTCCATTTAGCTGTGATGTGTGCAGCTTTCTGGACTTCTCAGTTGTTTTCACTGGATTGATGATGAGGAATACACTTGTATTCCTCATCGATTTTCCATAACCACTTTTCCCAAAGCGGGAATGCCTCTGTACTACAGCATTTGCGAGGAAGCAAATGAAATGAGGCAGGGAATAACCTATATGGGATGCCAGTTTGTCAGAGAGAAATGCAGCAATATTCCTGAGATTAAAATCAAAATGACAGACAAAAAATTCAAGATATACAATATACATATTTTATTTCAGCAGAATGTCAGATTTGGTAAATGGCATGCTTCAAACATTTCAAATTTAGCTGCAGGCATATATCACACACGTGCAGTATTTGTTAATGAAAACTTGCTGCTCGTCTGCTAACAAATGAAAGCACATTGTAACCCTTATTGGAAACATGCTACATGAGTCCACCGTCTACGTGTTATTTCCTGAAGCACTGAAACACAAACTGGCGATCCTCTGCCGCAAGGCACTGATCCCAACAATCAGGGTGATGGGTACGATGGTGGAGAGGGTCAGGTTGACCAAGCAGTAGCTGTTCATGGAGACTTCAGTGAGGCCATGCTGAAAGATGGCTGCCAGAGTGTGCCTAGCGATAGCGCATACCACAAACTCAAAAGCCAGGAAGAAGATCATGAAGGCTGCCCGGGCCACTCCATGCTGGTTCAACTGGTTGTTCCCTTGCATCTTCCTCATGTGTGCGATTAAGTGGGCCATGAGTGCGCCACTGGAAAAGACCATTAGGGCAAGCACACTAGAGTAATTAAAACTCTTCCAGAAGAGCTTCAACACCGAGAGACTGGGTGGGAGCTTAGTGTAGCTGCAGTTGAGTCCCTCAACACTTTCATCGTGATGCTCCTCGAAGAACAAATCGATGATGCTGGTGATTAGACTGCACACAATGCCCACTAGTATAATATTCACAACCAGAAAGCTGAAGTGGCTCTTCATCCAAAGAAATATGGGACTTTTCCCAGGAACTATCTTGAGGTAGAAGAACACGCAGATCAGACTGGTGACCCATTTTTGAATCCCGGATGTCACCTCCCATAGAAAGAGCAGTGCCATGTGGGGACAAAGGTGTAGACTCAACAGGAGTACCACTATAATGTTCAATACACCAGCAAGTAAGTTCGACAAGATGATCAAAGTCACTATGACGTCGATGGTCTGAAGGTGTCTTGAAAGCTGGACATGTAAGGCATTGCACACTAGTATGAGTAAACCCGTGATGAAGCCTGGAGCCCACACAGTTAAACTGATGATGTAGGTATATCCAATCATGTTTGCTTTTGTAGGAGGTAATGTGCTTTTGTAGGAGGTAATGTGCTTGCGATGTGTATCTGCACTAGGTTCTCTGAGGTGCTCTCATGTGAAAAATCTGTTGAAAAGAAGAAAGAAAAATACATATTTTTATTTAATTTCTAAAATTTGTACCCCTATTTGAGGTGGAGATGTTTCCTTGGAGAGTGGCAGCCATATGTTGATCATACGATGACTGAGCTAAACTGAGCTAATGTTGGGAAGCAGAGTGTTGTGCATCTCCCCGCGTCCAGCCCTCCTCGCACAGTGACCTGCATTCATGTCCGCCAAGTCCTACACAGAACAATGGGCTACTATGTACTGCTGCGTATCTAGAGGTTTTTCTCTAACAGAAAGTTTGGTGGCATTTTTCTTGTAACTGTTCGAATCTCGATAAAATTTAATATGTAATTTGTCAATGGCTGTTAGGAGCCGAAATACTCTAGCAACCTGGGATTTTAAACGTTACCAGTCCCCTGTGGCATCCAATACTCGCCTTGTTCTTGTTAAAATCCATCCCACTGTCTGCTAATGATGCCCCAGCAACAAAATGTCCCAAATGTGGAATTCCAATGGTAAAAACTTATCATATAACACAAATGGCAAATACATGCCATTGGAAGAACCCAGTATGATGAAAAACTACTTCTGTAGGGATAATATTACATGTAGGCAGTGTGGAGAGGATGACCTCGAGAGAATTCATGTCTCCACACTTTAAACATGTGCTTCCCAAGTTTTCTGTTTAAAAGGTGAACGTTCCCATGGGAATCATCAGACCCTTCCTCTGTGTACAGCTGGGAACCTCTGATACTGCATTCCTGATAAAACAACGCTATGATTATTCATATGCTGTTCACATTCCAAGGGAAGAAAATCAAAAATATTTTATTTGTTTTTCTCATTAAATCTGGCAGATAGGGGAGAGAATTCATTACATCATAATTATTCAAATGATACATAATTTGATGTTGGCTCATTGATGCTTATTTTGGTGGCACATCAATATAAACGGCACTGTTTTTCTGCCATATAATCTCAGTATATATAAAATCAGAGGTGCAGCTAAATTTTGGTCTCCCAGGACTGAACTTGATCCCCCAAGATCGTACTTGATCATCCAGGATCTCCCAGGATTGTACTAGATTGCCCAGGATCACACTGTCCCTGTTATTAACCTTGGACAGAGTGATATGTAAAGTCACGTTGGAAACTTAAAAACTAGCCACTGTTCCATAGGCAACGAAGCACAGAAATCCGCCCCCCTCCATCCCCGCAACATAACTCTCCCTCAGTTACAGACTCCCGTAGCAATAATATGGACTTACCTCACAGAGTGGAGGGGGTCTGTAGGTAACGAGGTCCATCTTCTAAGATGTGTGGCTATGACTCCCGTGAATATTTACAGGTGAAGCCTGTGAATATTCATGAGTGACAGAATAAGCAAATAGATCAATAGGCAGATGCTGGATTAAGCAGGAGCACAGAGTGGCTGGGTGTATAGCAGGGGGTCTCCCTTTCACTGGCCTTATCATTGTCATTAATGAATCATGCCTCTCAGCAAGTCTGATAGTCGTACAGCTCCGTCTGGCACAGAGATTTGAGCTTTGTTTAGAGTGCTCAGGGTGTGGATCACAATCAAAATCTTTGTAGGAATGCAAAAATACTGGAAACGTCAGCATTACTTTTTGTTAAAATATACCCATCATTTATCATGCATCACCATGCTATTTTTAACTGCATATGTATACATGCTGTAAGGGGATCTACTGCAGGTTTTAAGTGGACCCACATGACTGGAGCGCTAACATTTTTAAATGTTAGCTAATGTTTAAAATTGATTCAGAAACAAACTGAAATTATTATGGCAGCAAATGCAGTCAATCCATCGAAAATAACAGCTCGTATAAACACTGTTTCTCCAAGCTGTAATCGTATTCAGAACGAAAGCTTTTGATTGACAAATGCAGAATATATATGAGAGCTGCACTGGCATCTGAGTGACGTGATTGAAATTGTATTTGTGAATATTGCTTTGACGGGCAAATGGTCACGCTGCATTCTTGGTCATAATCTTACCTATTCTAGGCTCAGTAGACATCCATTAAAAAATGTTTGCAAAAGATGTTTGCAACTTGACGCTCGACTAGGCAGGTGCCGCAGGGGCCTCGGGGGTGGGGACATCAGGTTCCCCTTTGGAAGACAGCGGGGGGGGGGGGGGGGATTTACATAGAGGCGTTGGACAGTGAGGAGTGTAATATCATAGGGTGATGACATCACCACTCACGCTCAAAACGCACCTCTTACTTGCAGATAGACCAGAGGTATGTGCCAGGCAATTACTGATTAGTTTTGACTATACATTACATCCTGCCTGGGATGTACCCCTGCCTTGTGCCCTTTGTTGCCTGGGATACGATCAAGGTCTCCCACTACCTCCATTTCTGGGGCCAGGAGCTCAATGTATTCATCCATCCATCCATCCTCTAATTCCTTATCTTAGTCAGGGTCACAGTTGAATTTCAATCCAAGGCTGCATCAGCTACAAGCTTGACTAGTATTTGTTTGGGCGGATGGATGGATGGATATTCACTATGATGTCATTTTACGTGTTTTAAATCTGCTTTGATTGTTTCTGTGTCATTTAAGCATTTTTCTCAAACGTTGACTTTGCAGCCTCACATCCTCGGCCCCTAATACCCCGGAAAACACGCCGGAAGCTCTCTGGCGCAAGGCACTGATTCCGGTGATGAAGGTGATGGGCACGGCACTGGAGAGGGTCAGGTTCACGAAGGTGAAATCCAGCACAGATTTTTTTCTTTCATGATGTGAGTGTCAAACACAGTGATGGAGAACATAAATGACGTTGACCACGCAGGCGAATGATGTATTTTGGATAACGTACTTGGCAGTTAAATAGATTCTGGCATCTCTCCATATGAGCAGTTTATCGACTCCATTGTCTCCCGTACCACGCTGGCAAAGCTGTGCAGCAATGTAACTGCAAAACCGACAAACAGGATGGACACCATCGACGCGTAGAAGTGGCTCGTGATCCAGCACTACGTGCAACTCTTCCCAGGCACAACCTTGATGGAGAAAGAGAGGCAGACCATGGAGATGCCCCAATTCTGTAAGCCTTCACAAAGTTCCCAGAAGACCGACACAGGCGGTGGACAGGTGGCCGAACTCAGCAAGAAATTCCCAGGGCTCAGGTTCCTCAGGGAGTTGAAATACAGAATGAAGTCAAGCTGCTGATGTTCCCATTCCAGGCAAAGTTGAACTACATTGCTTATCATAATAAATAAACTGGCAGCAAAGCCTGGTATCCACAGAAAAATGCTAAATAGGTAATTAAATACGTCCATATTGCTGCTTGCTGGAGTTTAAATGAAATTCAAGTTTATTTGCTCTAGTGCAAACACTGTTATGGGGAAATATTATGTAATGTAAACTTTTGCATTGTTAATCCATTTATTTCATAAACTAATACGATCAAAATTTATCTCAAAAATATATTAAAAAAATAGGATTCCAGTTATCAGAAATTTCATTCTGTATTGATACCATTACACTGTAATACGTTTTTTTATTTTCATATTTTATTATGATGATGATTATAACGTATTATGGGAAATGCTTGGACAATAATTAGAACACAAGACATAAGCTTACATTAAATCAGAAAAACACAGATCCCCACTCACCAGCCTCAACTGACACTTAAAATTCAACGGTAATAAAGATAAAACTCATGTAAATTTACAGGTTTAACACTTGTGTCAACAGCAGTATACTGGACCTACCTCCTGCAGAGATGAATGATTATGTCAAAGTGAATCTCAAAGGGTTTTGCATCCCGCACCCTGCATAATCATAATTAATAATTAATCATAATAATAAACAACATCTGTAATGTAGAATGTAGTAGCAGGTGTGACAGCATATGTATGGATATATGCAATTAGAGGTCTGAATATTCAGATTTATGTATCATCCCAAGTAGAACATTTATTCCAATGCATTTTGTGTCCAGCTCTAATACCAGCTTGCTATTTAATCCTTGAGTACATAAATAGAAATACTGAGTGAAAACAGAATAAGATGTGGTAAATATTCAAAAGTCCAACAACAAAGTGTTATAACTAACTATCTTTACTAGAAAATACAGAAACACTGAATGTTTTGGTTTACAATCACTATCATCAATGCAAAATGCAGGGGCAGCTGCAGGAGATGTAAATACCCTGTTTCATTTTCATAGCTATTGCTGGGTGAAAATGCATTTAAATAATGAAATATGTCAAGGTTCTATTTAAAGGTTCTTCTAGTTGCTGACAGTGATTTACTCAGGCATAACAAGTATTATTGACTTGAGATTAAATATGGATTTTATTTTTTTTTTAAACTCACACAGCGACAAGTAATCAAACCATACAGGATTCTGTCTTAATGTGACAAAGCAATGATCATTTATAAACAAGGCTGCAGAACTGGGACTAAGCATTGGTCCTGGACTTTGGGGTCCTCCATGGCCCAAAATTTTGCCAATCTGGGGTGTGGTAAAGAATTACTAGAGCGAAACAGTACCAGTGAATGTCAAGATAAACTTTTCTATTATAGAAGGGAAAGATAATACGATTTAAAAATACAATTTTGTATTTTTTAAAAATACAATTATTTATTGAAATACAATTTTTTATTAACTTGTTAGACTTCCTGAGGAATTTGTGTATTTGTTGTGAATCTGGTCAGAGTGAGGCTGAAAAGCCCAGGGTGTTTGGGGAGACTGTCAGTCAGTTAATTGAAGCTGAACCATGCCCACTATCAACTTGGAGATAAATCGATATTTATTAGCTGACAAAGAGTGGCAATGTTGTGTCGCAGGGTGCTGATTTCAGTGATGAAGGTGCTGGGAATGATGGTGCTCAGCAACGAACATGCAGAAGGTGCATATGATGTCCTGGGTGATGATGAACTGGATGTGTATCATGATGGTGTATCTGGAAATGGCATAGGACAAAAACACCAGAGCCAGGCACAAGATCATAATGCCAGCCTTTGAGATGCCATCCTGCCTCACCTGCTTCACCTGACTCATTCTTCCTCATTCTACTCACATGAGTGAATAAATGGATTATCAGTGCTCCACTACAGAAAATCATCAGACTAACCACACAAGCAAATGACAGAAATTTCAAGGATATCTTAAATAAGAGCACATTACTGGGAAGCATGCTATTTGAGCAATTCCTGCCATTGGTTCCACTGGAAGCTCCACTGGAGTTTCCCTCCCAGAGTAAATCTATGACACTTATAACTGGAGATCACTCACATCCAGTAAACAGAACAGCTACCACCAGCAAGGAGAAGCAGCTCTTAAACCAAAGCAAGATGCTGTTGTTGTGAGGCAGCACCCTAAATTAGAAGAAGATGCAGATGAGGGTGATGCCCCACTTTGGGAGCCCTTCACTGAGCTCCCACAGTAAGGTTAGTGCCACCGGGGGGGGGGGGGGGGCATGTAGCCAAGCTCAGCAGCTGCACCATGGCTAGGTTAATGATTCCAGTACCCAGGTCCCCCATGGAGTTAGCAGTCAGTATCACACCAATAGTCTGGAGGCGCTTTTTGAAGTGAAACTGAATTACATTGCTGGTGATGATGAATAAATTAGCTAAGAATCCTGGCACAGAAAGCACAGCAGCAACTATGGGAATAAAAACCACCCCTGGCTCCTATGAAGATCTGGTAGCAGGAGCAGCCTGTATCTGTAAAGGATCTTGCTCTGTGGAGTGTAGCTGCACATAACCTGTCAGGGAAAAACAGTGACCTTCAGAATTTCTGAAAGCACAAAGTCATCAGTACATTATTTGCCTTCCACAGCCTGGGTTTAAGAATGTAATTTTTATTTGAATGTTTTAAATTGTACGTGTAATTCAAATTCCTAGGTTCCCCTTTCTGTGAATATATTAGTGATCATAGAATTTCTTGGATTGTATTGCGGACCAGGCAAACCTATACCATCAATATCATTTGTACACTTGAAATAGTTCAAATATGAGTTTTAACCTCCAGTGATTACTGCTAAGTTTCCCCAAAACCTTATTGGTGAAAGGCCTTACTCAAGAACCATAGAGACAAGGCTCTGAGGAGCAGTAATATAATAGATATACATTTACATAGTTCATAATTCATATATAGCATTTGGCACTTGCTTTTGTATTGAATAAGCTGACTCCTCCAAATTATATTCAAGATTGAAATAATGATGCATGGCTACCCACAATTCCTTGGAAAACTTCAGCTTGCCAAATCAATAATTCAATTATCGGTAGCAGGGTAAGATGACCCAAGCACTTTATCATTTATTCAAGGTATGAAAGGTAAACAGTAGTAATAGTGACCTCCCTCTAAGAGAGAATTTGTGGTGAGGTGTATCAACTGGGACTTATGAGAATAACTCTAAGAACTCACAGCTTCTGAATATAGATGAGTTACAGATAATGGAAAATGCTGAACAGTGACTTAGTCCACATGATGTTTGTAAGGCATGTCAGACTCTGGAGAGACATGAGAATTTACTCACAACTCTCTATGTCTATATATAAGTTCCTGAGTGTGCTTTAGATTGAGTGTTATTGCTGTATAAATTGTATAATTAAGGTCATATAAGTCAAATTTATATATCACCCAAGTCATTAGTCAGAGTGTGTCACTAGTATGTACATATACATTAGTATAGTGGTGTGTGTGTCACTGTGTATGTACCTGCCCGTGTGTGTGTACACCTAATTCTGTGTGTATTCTCTTGTTTGGGGGGGGGGGGGGGGCACACTGCCATACTGCCAGAAAGCAGTGATCTGAGTTTTTTTTTTTTTGAATACTATTTAACACATCACTGGAAAGGTAGAAGTTGGCAGATCTGAGCTGATACAAGACAAATTATTTCCAGTTCTGATTATGCTTACTTGAAGTTATAATGTGAATCAGAATGTCATTCACAGGAACTGTGAATTGAGAAGCCACTGTAAGGTGCAAGCGATTGCATTATGAGGCCTGGACTTTGCATGCGAATATCCTCAGTAATAACACGGGCGGCGGGAGATCAGCTTGCCTATGCTGCGGTTTCTGCAGGTGTCCTCCTGGCTTTACTTCATTTTCATGGAGAATATTTTCAGTTGTTATAGAGCATCGGGAAAGATAATGTCATAGAAATGGTTGCATCCAAATTAGATCTATGTGTTGACTTTTCTTTTTTTACTGGACACCAAGCAACTGGATGGTTTGTGATTTGCTTTTGTTTCCGTGTTTATTAAATGATGTGGTTTGACACATTTGGGGGGCGGGGGAGGATCAAACATGAGTATGTTTCATTTGTTTTTGTTTCTTCTCTCCTCTCAGGGGCGTATCTTGTCTTCTTAGCAGGCCGCTGCTAAAGCCAGTCGGATGCAAAGTTCATGGATGTACCGTGTGGCTCTGCAGGTCTGGCCTTTGTGCCCATGATCATAATCTAATTCTTAATACTGCGCTTGGTAATAACCAATATATGCAAGCATGGGAAATGGTAAATGAGCCCATAACTTTAAAATATTGCATAATACATCTCCCATTTGAAATTTATTCTCCTGTACTCTATTAATGGACAAAAACTACGCTTTGTAGTCATTTAGTTTCCATTTACGTATCTAGTCGTTTTTTTTATGAATTTGTATTTTATTTTAATGTGTAGATTGCACAGCTTTACAATGCTGCTTTGCCATACATTACATCGCAACACAAATACATAACAATAGCTGGATTTGGCTGCAGGACCGGATGGCTGTTTGTCTATGCTGGACTACCTCCACCTCCCCATTTCACTCCCCTGTTGCGAGTCACGACTTTTTATGTTGTAAGGTGTAGTGACTATGTGCTTATGTTGCTGAGGTGTTTTTTTCTGTTCCTACATTGTACTCCCTACTGGAGTACAGTCTGGGGGCTGTTTTTTTGTTCTCCTCTTCTCTCCTCATGTAATTCTATTTTCTCTGTTCTTCCTATATCCCCTGTCTTCCCCCTATAATGTGATGTTTGTATATGTATGGTCGGGTTGATGGCCAGTTTTTTCGCTGGTACTTGTGACTAGTGACATGGTATATTGCAACAGCAATAAAGGGTTTTCATCATCATCATCACCGTCATAGCAGGAATGTACATCCATAGTTTCCTTTGCTGTCTGAGTTTTCACTTTCATTAGGTCCCCTAAATGCCAGCTACCCAATAATGAAGTCACATTAATCAGCCTTTTCAGAATTTCATAGATTTTTCTTACCATGTCATTGTGTCTGGCTAACTGTAGACACATTCCTTCATTAATCAAGCTATCAAATCTCACTAAGGTTGCCACTTCTGATTCTAAGAAATAAGGTAGGCCAACCCCTTCCTGTCTGATACACACGACAGTAAAATTTGCTGGGGTGGGGTGCTATTTATCTGGTGCCCTTGGAGTAACCTGGTTTGATGCAAGTAGATTCAGCACATCTGTGTCTATCTGTCACCACTGACATGTACTACGGCTAAGTGATATGATTAAATTCCCCTACAGGTACATTTAGCTGGGTAAGATGTTCGCCTACAATACATATACTGTTGTATAACAAAATAAACAGGGCTGCTCAATCTATAGGTGACAATGGCGGCCGCCTAGGACACCAACGTCTGAGGGGAAGCCGACTTGTGAATTTCACTTTGCCCCAGACGGGAGGAGCCAGCGGTGATGCTCACCTAGGGTGCCACATTGGCTAAAAACATTATTATTACAAGCCTACCTTACACATTCTCACCAACTCTCCAAAAATACGTGACACAATTCAATTCACCCACAACAAATTTTGCCAACTGGCTACCAGTCTCCCACCAATAAAATCTGCAGACTGGCCAGAAACAAAAAATATATATAGACTGTATTAATGAATAATCAGAAAATCATCTTGTTCCCCACAATTTCAGAATTACTGAGCTGTACAATGTCCCTGGAACATTTGCACAAAGATCCACAGAATGTTTATATGGCAGTTTACAAGATGACGGCTGCAGGCTCTGTTTTCGGCTGCCCTCTGTCATGCAGTTCCAAATTTGGGCGGATTTGGGGGGAAGATTTTCAGGTGTAGATTTTCATCCATATGTTTTTGTGAAGTGGTACCAAGATCCATCAAAGATCAGAATAAATGGAGTAATAACTTTAATAGTTATTCTATTCACAAGGTTAAGCCTCATTGGTTGATCTTTCTCTTTGCTGTCATAAAGCAGCACTGCTTTAATCTTAATGTGGTTTGTCTCATAATTTGATCACTTCCAGTTTGTCACCTCTGCAAAGTGCCTGAAAAAGACCCATGTGTTTTACATCTGCTGTTTCCTTCCTTTCCTGCCACACAGCGCTGCTGCTTCATTTTGGGGCAGTCTCTCTGAAAATGGAATCAATATAGATATTCATCCATATGAAGTTTTTATTAAGTAGTAATGTGATCCATGAAATAGTTTTTGACTTACCACATTCACAAGGTCAAATGCCATCTGCTTTCATCCTTCTCTTTGCTGCCACTAAGCAGCGTTGCTTTAGTTTCAAGGGGATCAGTCTCAAAATTTAATCAGATCTAGATCACCCCTACAGTCTCTCCACAAAATCTGAAAAAGATCCAACAAATGTTCTTTGATTTATGGTCTTAACAGACAAAGCGTCTTCAACGGACCAGTCCAAAAACAAATGTCTTCCCTGTTAGGGAAATACAACAATGTCGCAGTTGCTTGGAAGACACTGAGAAATTTGGTGACATCTGGTGGTGACTACGCCGGAACTGTAGGACAGTACTTTGAATTGCTATTGAATACGGACAGCTATCGACAGTTTGAACGACGGCATTGGTGGAAATGCCGGAGTGGCAAATAGGCCTTTTCTTTTTACATAGTAATAATTCATAATATTTGAAAACATTATGTATTCTTCCTTATACTATTACTAACGTAAAGATGTTGCCATTGAGACACCAAAGTTATCCAAATCAAAACCTATTTTCTCACTTGGAGGTCTCTCGTTTGTAAAAGCACAAATAATTATTCTATCGTAATAATTAGACTTTTATATACCATCTCCTATGAACAACTAGCTTAAGGTAGCCTGTGTGACCTAAAGGTTTGATTACTTAGTTAGTTCGTTAGTTGTGAATTATTCGATATTGTTCGAAGTAAATAGAAACACCCCTCTGTATCACGTGTAGATCATACTATTCACAATAATAACCCTGCAGAACATTGATTCAATACTTAATCAAATGCACTATTTTGAAGAGAAAATTTTTTGTATATTTACGATTTAACCAAACATTGTCAGTGGATTGCACGGAATCTGGATTTTTTTTCCAGACGCAAACCTTTTGTTTCTTCTAAACTACCTAACCCAGCTTTATCCACGTCATTTGGAACACTTTGTAGCGTCGTTGCGCGATCATTACGTACGTTTTATCTACGTTATCATCACGATTGGCAGATTCGCCTATAAACCATCCGTGTAGTTCGCTTTATAAGAAATGGGTATCCTTATAACAATAGTGCCACATACCAAATAAATTTATGAACACAACACAATGTCATTTTAACGGTGATATGTCTTAGATCCTGTATCAAAAATAAGTTTTTAAAGTAAGGTGTAGAGTTTAGAAAGGAAAGTCACTCGTCGGGATGTGAAGAATCTGCTGCAGCGAAACGCCAGCGGTAAATCGCAGTGACTGATGGAGAACAGGCGAGGCTCGCAGGTTAGTGCGCGATGGCCGCTCGTACTATTTTATTATATTTTTGTCGCGAATTGCTATTGCACGCCAGTTTTGGAGCGAGGTTGTTCTAACGGAATATTTCCGCCGCCGAAATGTCCCGCTTGACGGTGTAAGGCTGTCCATTTTGGTTTAGCGTAGCCCTGTGTTTTGTCCGTACGTTTAAGGCCTCCGGCGAAGCGGCGGGCTCGGAGTTTCGGGTGATGCGGCCGGCGAAGCGCTCGGGGGGCGGCGTGAGATCGCCGGCTGCACACCTTTGATTGGAGCCGGACCACGTACCTCTTTAGGACTGTCTTTGCTGCAGTTGGCCCGTTGCGTCACCTCCTGGCTCCCCGAAACGGTAGCCAAGCTACAGTAGACTCGCTTTCACTGACAGCATGGCTGCGATTTTTGCAGTTGGAGCGGGACCGTAGGGTACCGCCTCGGATGCGGTCTGTGCTGTGCACCTCTGCTGATTCCGACATGGTTACACGATGGTGCGTTGGCGCAAATAAAACGGAAAAGTCACGGAGCGAAGTGCAATTTGTCCGCGGCCCATCGCGCGTCCGGCCGTTCGCTTTGTTAGACGCCCCACTCGTCGTTAATCGGACGCCCGATTACCGGGAGGCTCCGCGCCGAGTGCTGCGAGCAACCCTGTGACCGGCAGTGTGTCAGTCGGACCTCGGGTACAAGTGGGGAACAACTGAATGAGTTTAAACTTCTAAAAAAAGACAGGCCGAGCTGGTGTTTTGTCCCTCTCGTACTAGCCCACCTCTGAGAACCGAAAGGTGCCGCGGTCGCTTTTAAAACCTGCCCTTCGTCGGACGTCCGTTTGGGAGCCGCTTCGGGTGCGCGTGGAAGTAAATGCTGTGTTGTTCCTGCCCCTTTCCCAGTGACAACATGGATCCTGACAGTGGGGTGGAAGCGCAGCGAGCTGTCAGCCTGCAGTGGAAAAGCTACAAGCTGATCCAGGACCCGGCCATCCGCAGGGTCGCCCAGAAAGTCTACCGCTACGATGGGGTGCACTTCAGCGTGCCGGTCAGTGGGTCCCCTGCAGGCCGCCAGACCTCCGTCCCTGTGATACAGAGCTTTACGTACACGGCTTGTTTATCGTGGTTCTTACGCACATGTTGTTAATTTGTTTGTTCGCGGCGCTTTATAGCATTTAAACTAAGATTCAGTTTTATATGTTTTTGATGCAACATCCGTGTACAGCTGTAATTTCAGGTCTAAGAAATATTAAGCAATATAATGGCTTAGATGATTATTAATAAACTCATCGATGCTGGGAAAGTTTTTGTTGTTCTTCTTTTGGGAGTGAATTCCTTTGAAAAGCTGTGTTGTGTGTGTGTTTGGGACATTGTCAGTGCAAAGTGGATCTGATCTGACAGCCCTGCTTACCCGGACTTGGCAAGCTGCAGTGTTCTTTTTGTTACTGTAGGCAGTGGACATCAATATACCTTAGGCTGGGGTAATAAACATATGGAGATCTGTGGACAAGCATTGAGAAAATTGAGCAGTGGCTGTCACTACTGAACAAAATGCTTAAATTTGTCCTCTATATTTTGTAAGTTCTGGTCTTGCTGTTTTGTCACCTACCTGTGTGCATGAGATATCATTTTGAAGATAGACTGATAGACTGTCTGTTGGTTTCATGTTATGTTTTTCTCCCTTGAGGGGGGCATGGAGCTGAGTTTGCATGTTCTGCATGTGGCTGACACCTCTGCCTGTCTCAGGACTCGGGGTTCACCCCAGTGGGGGATCTGCGGGACCCCCGACCTCGCAGGATCTGGTCCAAACGTGCAGAGCTGTCCCTACCGGTGCCCAGATTTAAGGTCTGTGTCCTGACCCCTGCTCGCACCCCCCTTGCCAAATGTGCCCAAAGTGAAGGCCTCACATATAACGACACACCCTGTCTCACTAAACAGCTGGACGAGTTCTACGTGGGTCCGATCCCCCTGAAGGAAGTGACCTTCGCGCACCTGAATGACAACATCCGGGAGCCCTTCTTGGCGGAGATGTGCGCCAAATTTGGCGAGGTGGAAGAGATGGAGATTCTGTTCCACCCAAAGACACGCAAGCACTTGGGCCTGGCCCGCGTCCTTTTCACCAGCACCCGGGGTGCGAAGGACACCGTCAAGCACCTGCACAACACTTCTGTGATGGGCAACATCGTCCACGCACAGCTGGACATCCGAGGTGCTCCCCTGTCAGCCTGCACACTCCTGTTTTGTGTCTAACCTCCATGTGCACGTGCTTCTGTTATGTCGTCTACGTGACATTATTCCTTTGTGCTGTCATACTGGTCATGTAGATCCAGCAACTGTGCAGTTCATTTCTGGTCAACATCCTTTAAAATTTTTCTCTCTGTTTTTTGTCATAACTGACCTCAAGTATCACCACAGATGATTTTTTTTAAGTTGGTTAAGATCAAAGTTTTGGGACATTTTGGAGACTCTGGGTCAGAGCTGAGCGATTGATGAGCCCATATGGGTTTTAACTATGGTCAGTTAAAATCAAAAAGGTGCTGTTGAGTGACTCAACTTTAAGCCATAAGTACCTTTTTGCTGGTGGGAGTGGAAGTGGAGCAGTTGTTTTAATCACGTTTCCATTGCAGCCTGGTGCTTTAAAGTTTTTCTAAAATTTTAGATTGAGTGGATTAGGAATGGGTCGAGGTTTGGAAGGTCATGGGTTTGAATCCCGTGGCAGGCAGAGTAATGGTATCACTGTTGGGCCACTGAGCAAGGCCCTTAATCCCAGCTGCTGCAGGGACGCTGGATGCTGGGTGACCCTGTGCTCAGAGCCCAAGCTTTCCTCACATGTACATCCCTTTGGACAAGCATCTGCTCAATAAGTAAATGCAAATGTATGTGCTTGGAAACCCAGTTGTGAAGCAGTGAATGTTACTGACTTGCAGATTTGCTTGGTGTTTTCTAAGCACAGAAAGCTGTTGATATTTTTATTTAATTTTTTTTCTCTGGTGCGGGCACAATCATATTGTACACCTGAGCTCTGACTGAGCTGACCTCGCGTTGTGTGGGATGTGTTAAGGCTCTTCTGTGTTTCTCCCCTGACTTTCTCCCCTCTTTCTCCATGCTTAGGCCAGCAGAGGATGAAGTATTACGACCTGATAGTGAATGGTACCTACACCCCCCAGACCGTCCCCACTGGAGGGAAGGCCCTCTCTGAGAAGTGCCCGCCATCTGCGCCCCCCACCAACCCCGACACGGTAAGGGAGAAGGCGCCCCCCCATAGTCATTCACTGTATTGCGTGTAGAAGATACCGTACGGCTTTCTCAGTCTTCCTGACATCGCTCATCCCATGCTCTTCCACTCCACAGTCTTCTGATGTCCGGCGCAGGCTCTCCGGCGACTTCATGGGCTCAAGTGTGCCCCCCCTCACCCCAGGCAGCACCACCCCTTGCTCCGTCGATACCGGTTTCAGTGAGCCGCGCCTGGACACGCCTCCTTCCTCCCTGGGAGGGCCCTTCACCCCGGGTTCCTCTGCATCTTCCCAGGGCGGGGGCACGCCCTACACTCCTCGCTCTGGGACTCCCTTCTCCCAGGACTCGGCATTCAGCAGCAGGTCTGCTTGAGACAAAGCTGGTGTCATGCATTCGAGGGACTTAAGCTGCTAGATTTCTTACACAGGTTATTGGCAGCTGTGACAGCGCCATCTACTGGCAGTCCTGCTACTGCTTTTGGCCAGTGTATCCATATTGTTAAAGTGGTTGATGGGTCAGGAGTGTGTAACCCCCAGTCTAAGGGACCTGTCTCTGTCTTATAGGCATGGGAATCTGGGTTACGGAGGAGCCGGCGGCGCTATGAGCAGTAGTTACCCTTCTCAGGACATGTTGCCCTCTTCCTCCTGCTCCTCCTCTGCTGTCTCCTCGTCTTCTTCCATTGGGGGATACAAGACCTCCCGCTACCTTGATGAAATGCATGCACCTCCCCAGGAAGGGCCCCCCTTCCACTGGGGTCGCCCCCCTTACCCCCCACCTGTCTCATACCGCCCCAATGAGCCGCCTCCTTACCCCGCCTATCACAATGCAGGGGGCAGCGGGCAGCATTTGCACCTCCACCCCCCGCTTCCTCCTCCTCCTCCCACATCCCAGTACGAGCCCCCCATGGTCTTGGAGAGGGACAGGGAGCGAGAGAGGGACCGGGACAGAGACAGGGACTCCGTTGGCCGGTTCCCGGCCGGGGTAGGCTCCCGACGCTCCTCTTACCACCATCAGCCGCCGGAGGCTGGCGTGCCCTCCAAGTCGTCGTCCTATCATTCCCATCACCATCACCACCACCATTCAGAGCGCCGGGACGAGAGGGGCTACCGCAGCGGGAGCAGTGGAGGCAGCTCCAGCTCGCGGTCCGGAGACCATGGCCACCAGAGACACCGGAATCACCACCATTCCCACAACCACCATGGCGGGGGCAGCCGGCGCAGGGGAAGCCGGGACAGGGAGCGGGATAGAGACAGGGAGCGGGAGCGGGACAGGGAGCGCGAGAGGGATGGCGAGTTCCCCAGCAGCTCGGACTTGCGCTATGCCCCCGGGGGCTCCGGCCCCGGCCGTCCGGCCACACCCATGTCCTCCAACAGCCTGTCCCCGCTCCCCTCTTCTTTCCCCTTCACATCAAAAGACACGCCACTTCCCGAGCAGGAGCCCAGCTCAGCGTACCGCCCACCGGGGAGGGAGCGCGGAGCAGCCGGTGATAAGGACTACCGCCATCAGACCCCCGTCGCACCGCCACCTCCCCCACCACCACCCCCATTGCCCCCAGCATCAGTCATTGCAGCAGCAGTTGCGGAGAGCTACGGCACTACAGGCTATGATCAGGAAAGCCCCCCACCTGAGGAGCAATGGGCCAAGCTGAAGCGTCGGCCCAGCACGCCGCCATTGCCTCCTCAGACATCCCTCTCCTCCAAGCCTGTCCCGTCCTCTCCTGCCCATCCCTCCATCACCTCCTCCTCCTCGCCATCCTCTACCTCCGTTCCCCTCCACGGCCCACCGCTGTCTCCCCCCAGTCCCGCCCCTGACCGCAATTCGTCATCCCCGGAGCCAGACTCCACCAACGAGAGCCTACCGTTCGTCTACCATAGCAGCAGCCTGGACTCCCGAATCGAGATGCTCCTGAAAGAGCAAAAAGCCAAGTTCTCCTTCCTGGCGTCGGATGACGAGGATGAGGAGAAGAGGGACGAGAAGCGTGCCGACGGGGATGAAGCCCATGCCAGGGGAGTCCCTGCGGATGGTTCTGGCGAGGGGGTCTGTGAGGGTGAGGTGAAAGAGGGCGGCGGCGAGGAACGAGACCGGCGCAGGAGGCGCGATGGGAACAGAGGGCCGGGCGAAGCAGATGGTGGCCGTGCACGCCGAAAGGCAGAGCGGGAGAGAGAGCGTGAAGGGCGCCGCCGTAGGGCGAGGAAGGAGGGTGGAGGTGAAGGCAGGAGGAGCCCGGCAGTGGCCACCGCCCCCTCTTCCACCTCCTCAGCCCACTCGCCTCCCCCAGAGGCTGCCTCAAGTCAGCCATGCCCCGACCAAGAAGAGGACCCCAGCTCCGGGTCAGCTGACCCTCGCAAGAGACATGGAGCACACACGCCCCCCACTCTCAACGGACAGGGCCAGGTAAGGCATTACCGTGCCATGAGTGCGGGTGTCCTGCATTAGTGGTGTCTGGGGATATGGACCCATAAAGAGCCCTTTTCTTTACTGGGACTGTCTTTGGATAGACCTTAGAAATAGTGTCACACTAACATTAATGTTAAAATGACATTGAAGGAGCATTTTTGCACCCTCTAGTGGTGATTTTGAGAATAGCGGCATCTCTGTCCAGTGCCTTGCTGAAGCTGTGTGCCGTTTGGTGCCTCCTCTCCCCAGGCTTCTCCCCGCTCCTCTGGTGAGGACATGGAGATTTCGGATGAAGACGAAAATCCGGCGCCGGCTGGTGCTTCTCACCACGCCGCCCTTCCCTCCTCATCGTCCTCACCCACCCCCTCGTCTCAGTCTGTCCCACCCTCCCAGACCCCCGACCCCTCGTCTTCTCCCCCTCCCCTTTCTGAATCCACTCAGCACTTTGGCAACGTCCTGCCCCCACCCATGCCCTCATATCCACCCCACCTGCCCCCGCCGCCGCCACACGGCTTCTCCCTCCAGCCCCCTCCTCCCCCTGGGCTCCCCCCACCCCTAGCGCACATGGATCTCCACCCGGAGTTCCCACCTCCCATCCCCCCGCACATCTACGACTACAGCCGCTCCATGGAGCTGATGAGCCAGTACAGCGGAGGGGCCCCCATGTCCTTCCAGATGCAGACACAGATGCTGAGTCGGCTGCACCAGCTGCGCATGTCCTCCAGCAATGGAGCAGCAGCCCCCGGCGAGCCACCCCCGTCAGACTACCCCCCATCTTACCCGCACGACTTGCCCCACCTGCACTCCCTCCCTTCTCACCCTCCCCCCCCTCACCCGCACCACCCCTACATGGACCAAGAGGGAAGCGGCGCCCCCTTTGACCAAGACCACCGCTACATGCCTCCGCCAATTCCGTACCCATTTGCCGACCCTCACGCCCCCCAGTTGCCGCCCCCGCCCCACCACGGCCTCCCGCCACCCCCCTCCTCCTGGCCCCCTCACCTGGTCCCCCCTCACTTCCCCTCTTACTTGCACCCACCCCCTGGGGCTCCAGCACCATCCCACTTTGGCCCGCTGTCACCATCGGCCAGCCCTTCCTCGTACGCAGCCCAGTTTGGTGCCGTGGGCGGCCCACAGGTGCCTCTGCTCCCGCAGCACCCCCACGAGGCCACCGTGCGTCTGGTCCTGGCCGCGCTCATCCAGGAGATGAAGAGCATTGTACAGAGGGACCTTACCCGCAAGATGGTGGAGAACATCGCCTTCGGCACCTTCGACGAGTGGTGGGAGCGCAAGGAGAGGAAGGCCAAGGTTAGGGGGCGGGGCTTCCGGTTACCCCCACCCTGTCCTTAATCGCTAGGATGTGTAACTCTTACTGTGCACCATGCACTTCTGCATTCTAGCTCTGAATCCTGTGTGAGGCCAGTCGGTTGATAGATATGACAGGTTTGCTAGGTTAAAAAAGTGTATGTTAATCCAATTAACTGCTTAATTGAAATTCCTGGTTTACAATGACCACTAAATTGTAAGAGCAAAACTGAAGCTGGAAAAAAAAAACTAGAGATGCACTTACAAGCCAGCAGATGATACTGCAGGTGAAATTCAGCATTTCCTATATGCCTATGGCCAAGGTGGAAGGTTCCACTCACAGGTTATTAATCTGTGCTGCTGCTAGTGGTCAGTACGCAAACCAACCGGTAAGGACAGCGGTACATATGCTTCAATAATTCATGCGTATATTCATTGCGCTTCAGCAATGTGTTAAAATCGATAGCCTGCTGTTGTCCTGGGAGCATAACCAGGAGCCATTAATGGCCCAGCTGGGAGAGCCAGTAGTGCAGGAGGTGCCATGAAACCCCACACAGTCTGCAGGACTTCGCTGAAAATGGTGCTCCTTCCCTCCCAACCAGCCTTTCCAAACGACGGTGCGCGGTGTTTCGGCCAGCCGAGGGGACGAGGAGAAAAAGGAGAAGGAGGAGAAGGAGAAGGAGAAGGCCAGCAGTCGGCCGCGTGAGCCCCTGCTCTCCCTGGTGGACTGGGCTAAGAGCGGCGGACTGGAGGGCTTCTCCCTGCGAGGGGCGCTCCGCCTGCCTTCTTTCAAGGTACCTGCCAGAGGCGGTCTCTGCATCGACTCAGTGGAAGGGCCCAGGGTGGGGGGGCGTTACTGCTGAGCAGTGCTGTTAGTTTTTTACTTTAGTTTTTGTTTTCATACTGTTTTCAGTTTTCATTTGAAATCCAGTTAAGTGTGGTTTTATATAGTTTCAGTTTTAGTAACTTTGTTTCTAGTTCTACTCAAATGAGTGCGCTCTTAATGGGCAAAACATTACACCTACACATACAAAGAAACACATTACTGTAGCTAAACAGCATTTAAACTTTAATGGAGAGTGATGTTTGTTTTTATTTTAGTTCTGGAAGCAATGTCTTAGTTGTAGTGTGTAATCATGTCTTATTCCATTTTCTGAAAATGTTTTCTTTCACGTTTAGTTGTATTAGCGTTAATGATAACGCTACTGCAGATGCATCTTTTGTGTGTTGGGGAGCAGCTCGGCCCGTTAGCTTTAGCATTGAGTGTTTCGCCTCAGGTGAAGAGGAAGGAGCCCCTAGAGCTCCAGGAGGGGGTGGACATGAAGAGGCCCCGCCCATCCACTCCCCCCGACGAGGAGGACGAGGGTAAGCACTGTTTCTTTTTTCTTTTCTTTTCTTTCTTGCCCTTACTTCCCAGTGTTTTTTCAGTAACTAGTCAACTTTACTGTAATTAGCACCTGACCCACTGCTACCAATAAATAGTCGTTCTTAAACAGAGTAAAGCCTTATGTGGTATCAGATAAAACAAACAAAATTGGTTAATTCATTCATCGTCTGCCTCGTTTCTGGGTCCGGGTCGCTGGAGGTCCAGTCTGAGCAGAGATACTCAGACCTCCCTCTCCCCAGCCACCTCCTCCAGATGTCCTCAGTCATGTCCAACCAGGAAAACACCCAGGCTCTTGCTGACCAGCTGAGAGATATAATCCTGGGTCTGCCATAGGGGTCTCCTCCCAGTTAGATATGCCTGAAGTACCACCTCAACTGGTTCCTTTCAACATGGATGAGCAGCAGTTCTACTTTGAGTCCCTCTGAAAGGTCCAGTCTCCTCACCCTATGTCTAAGGCTGAGCCCAGACACCTGGGGAATGACACTCATCTCCACCACTTCTTCTCATTCTGCTGGTCCCTACCCAGAGCTCCTAACCATAGGTGAGGGTAGGAATATAGATTGACCAGTAAATCAAAAGCTTTGCCACGTGAGATCCACCTGTCAATCTCCCACTCCATTACTTATAAATGGGACCCTAAGATATTTAAATTCCTCTGCTTGAGGCAGTAACTATTCCTTCACTTGGAGGGGGCAATCCACCCTTTTTCAGATGAGAACCGTGGCCTCAACTAATCCCTCAGCCGTAGCACACTTAGCTGCAAACCACCCCAGTGCACGCTGGATTTCACCGCTCAATGAAGCCAACAGGGCCACATTATCTGCACAAAGCAAAGCTACAATACTGAGGTCAGTGAACCAGACACCCCCCACCTCCAGAAGTTCTATTCGTAAAAGTTTTGGACGGAATTAGTAACAAAGGGCAGCCCTGAGTCAACACCTTCCAGGGACGAGTCTAATGACTCCTGCCAATGCAAACCAAGCTCTTGCTGCAGTTATACAGGGACCTGATAGTCTGTAACAGGGACCTCACACCCCATACTACTGTAGCACTCCCATAGGACCCAGAACCCCCTGAGGGACACGATCGTTTGCCTTTTCCAAGTCCACAATACACAGGTAGACTGGTAGGGCAGACTTGCATGAACCCTTCCTCATCCTTGTGAGGGTAAAGAGCTGGTCCAGTGTTCTATGACCTCGAAGGAATCTGCATTTCTCGTGGATCTGTGGACCAACCAAGAGACAGACCTTCCTCTCCAGTACCCAGGCATAGACCTTACCAGTATGATCCCCCAAAGGTGGTGGGAACAGACCCTCCTGTTTGCTTTCTTACTGATTGGTACTACCACCGCAATTCAGAGGCACTGTCCTCAACCTCCACAAAGTGTTGAAGAGGCATGTCAGCCAAGACAGCCTAAAAACCTCAAGAGCCTTCTGGAACTCAGGGCGAATTTCATCCACCACTGAAGCCGTACCACCAAAGAGTTTTTTGACACTACTTCCTCCAAAGAAGCCATGTTAGTGTGAGTCAGGAGGTTTGCAAAGAACTCTTTCCACTGCCTGACTGCCCATATGATTTCAACAGTACTCCATCCCCTCCTCAACAGCCCTTCTTCCCTCTCCAGATCTATCTATATGTTTGCCAGAATCTCTTCAAGGCCCACCAAAAGCCATTTTCCATGGCATCACCAAACTCCTTCCATGGCCGAGTTTTTGATTCCACAAATGCCAATGCTGCATTCTGCTTGGCCTGCTGGTACCTGTCAGCTGCTTACCACTGGTGTCTACCACTAGGTTTGGAGGCACTAATAGTCTTACAGCCACAGGTCTGCATAGCTGCCTGGAACATGGAACATGGCCCAATCAGACTCAATGTCTCCAGCCTCCCTCAGAATGTTAGAGAAGTTTTGCCGGGGGCTCTGCCAGACACTTCCAAAACACCCCCACTATACGTTTGTGTCTACCAGGTCTATCCGGCATCTTCCGCTGCCATCTGATCCAACTCACCACCAGGTGGTGATCAGCTGACAGCTGAGCTTCTTTCTTCACCTGAGCATCCCAGACATACAATCTTATCTGATCTGATCATATGACTATACCATTTCCCCAGAAAATTCAATCAGTGGTCCTCAGCTTAAACCTCGGAGAAACAGAGCTGAGTACCTCTAGCCTGGTTCTGGTGCCAGGTGCACAGTTATGCTCAAACATGGTGTTTGTTATGGACAAATTGTGGTTAGCACAATGTCCAATAACACTGCTTGAGTTCAATCATTTGCAGGGTTCACTCGTTACCTACGTGAGTATTAAAGTCCCCCAGTAAAATGATGGAGTTAGCGTATTAGATTTTTTTCTCTTCTAAAAATTTACCCCCCTTACTCTCTTAAAACTGAAATTTCAGATCTGTATAATTGGTTAACTTAATGCATGTTCCTAATAAGGAAATCCTGAACCAATCAAGTAAGAGATGGCATCGGAATCATATGTCCATTTTAACAAGTTTTTCCAGTGCTTTAGAGTACTTTTCATTGGGTTACATCATTTGTGAAATGTCATGCTCCTCCCCTAGAGGTCATCATCTCATAATAAACGTATAAAATTCAGTCGTTAATATGATTGATGCAGGCTTGGTACCATAGAGCTCCTGGTCTGGCCTCAGGCTGTTTGCCACCCGGGTTGAAGCACCAAGTCACCTTGGTGGCCTTGACCTCCGCCCGATTCCGTGCCTTTATTGATGAATGCGTTTGCACGATGGCTGTAACCTTACCCCGTGGCGGATCCCTCTAATCCCATCCCAGTGCGCTCTCAGCTCAGAGAATGCAATATTATTAGGGCCCCACATTGAGCAATTTTTGAACACTCCGGGCATGATGTTCAAAGGCCAGCCAGCCTCCTTTTGATTTTTAAATTTTAAATCAAAGACGGGAAACTGGCCAGGTCTCCCCAGGCGGTGTCAGTTATCGACGTGGGGCCATCCGGAATTCCTATCAAATTTTGAAAGCACGAGAATTACAGAGCACTTTTTTCCTGAACCATGCAGGTTGGACACCCATAACAACCCAATTACTTCTCCCATTAAAATTCAGTTTCCCCAGTTTTCTGTGAATCTTTGAAACTGCAGTTCAGGGCAAAAGAGTGACCTAGATTCCCCTTTGATCTCCCTAACACACATGCACATTGTCCGTACATATTTTTTCTTTTTTGAGGTAGTTTAAAAAGCGCATTCTGTCTCTGTCAGACTCATACCAGGAGAAGGGTCCAGACGCCCTGGGTGGGCGCGGCGAGGAGGATGGCGACCCCAGGGCTGAGCGGCAGGGGCGCAGGGGGCAAAAGAGGATGAGGAGGCAGAAACAGTTCGAGCTGGACAGCGAGGGAGAGGAGACGTCGGACACCTCTTCCTCCGACAAGGTGTCGTGCTGCTGTTTCTGAACACATCCCAGACATGTCTGGCCGACCTACAGACAGGATGAGACTCCAAACCTGCTTTGTCTATAGCACCGGGCCCTCCTGTGTCTGTGGCTGCTGCATGGTCTTTTAATTGGCTATAATGAGCCAGTTCCCTTGTGCTCAGTCACGCTGAACAAGCAGCCTGAGGAGTGTGTGTGAGCTCTCTGCTGAATTCTGTTCTCCTGTTTTTATTTTCATAGTTGCTTTAATCTCTTCTTGAGCAAAGTTCCTGGGGCCTGTATCAGTTACCCCACACTGATTTATATTGAATCCTCATGTGTATGCAGGGTAACTGGCCTACACTATGACGTACTTTTTCGCTTGAGCCATGTGGGGTCCAAAAACATATCAGGTTTAGTGCTGTTGGCTACAGGGGCGGACTGGGAGTTGAATTTGCCAGCTCGTAATCACAGACCGCTTGATATCAGCTCTATCCGTCCAGATTACTACATAATACCCATAGTTTTGGAAGCTCTCCCTTCCCTTTCCAAATGCGCCCTCCTGCCTGTGTGCAGCAAGCCTCTTTGCCCTAACTTGGCTGATGATCCCATTGCACTTCTGCAGGAGGATGACGAAGATGAGGAAGACAGCGATAAGGAGGATGACTCTGAGGGTAACAGAGCCGGGCTCACACTCCTGCTGCTGGTGTCCCGCGCGCCTCTGGCCCGTTCGCTAACCAGGCCCCTTTCCCCGCAGACGAGGCGGTGAGCGGTGACAGTGATGACGAAAGCGAGTCCTCGTCCTCTTCGGAAAGTGGCTCCTCATCCTCCTCATCCTCATCTTCCTCCTCGGAGGACGAAGAGGATGATGAAGAGGAGGCCACGAGGCCGGGGGAGATTGAGGGAGTGGACACCATGGATGAGTCCACTATGGACAGCGCCATCTTGGATGTGGAGCGGGAGGACGAGAGGTATCTAGGAGCTGGCGGCCTCCCAGTCTGGTGACTGTCCTGTGAGGGGATCACAGAGCATGTTTCCCGCATGTTAATGACCTTTCCATGCTGTGTCTCTGCTGTGCCAGGATCCGTCTCCAGGGGGCAACCACCAGCGCCGAAGGCAGGAGGGGATCTGATCCCAGAGCAGGTCTGTGCGGCGTGTCAGGGAGTGTAAGCAGGAGCATGAGCATGACGAGGAATGTGACACTGCGATTGACTGGGAGGTGGCGGTGTGACACTGCGAGTGACTGGGAGGTGGCGGTGTGACACTGCGAGTGACTGGGAGGTGGCGGTGTGACACTGCGAGTGACTGGGCGGTGGCGGTGTGACTCTG